GAGGGAACGGCAGAAAGAGACAGGAGAGATGCAGGCACTCTGGTATGCCCACGGGTTACTCAGAGCATTTTCCATGGTGTTCTCAAAGTTGGCTGAGTTCCAACACACGCATTAGTAGGACAGGAACTCCGTTAGTGTTGGGGTCAGGAGAGTTAAGATTGAACTCCGGTCAGCACCTTAGCCGGGGCTAGGCCAAAAACTTCTAGAGTCGGACCAAGCAGTTTATTTATTTGTTTGTTTGTTTTGACACATTTAAACCCAGTAAGATTTGGGGGAATGTCTCCTCATGACAATTACCACAACAAAGCTTCAGGAGTGGCTACATCGAAACTTCCTTGGAAAGTATGTCTTTGTAGCAAGGCACCTGTGACCTTTGGCATAAGGATGAGTTTTACTGACTGAGAAAGTGCTCAGGCATCGGGGCCTAGGGAGGAAGAGTTTAAAGATGTGTTCAATTAATTGAGAAGGCCGAGGACCTGGGGCCTCTTTCGTAAGGATGGGTTCCATTTACTGAGAGACAAAGTTCAGGATCAGGGCCTGCACAATGCTCAGGATTTGGGGGATTCAGGAAGGCTGGCTCCAGAGAATGGCAAAAGATCACCAGGTTGTTAGACAACATCCACCCTGTCCTTCCGGTTGAACAGGCGTCAGTCATGTCCTTCCCTTGAAGAAAAAAGCCTGCATGTTTAACAATTCTGGTTTTTCTAATGCTTTCTGTAAGCTGTGCCTTCTACATGCTAAGAAACACGAGGGAGCCTCACAGGGACACAAGACCCTCCGGCAACTCCAGGGCCCCCCAGTCTGGGTTCGCCTCCAGACTTTACTTTCAAAGGCAGCCCGCCCTCCGTCCTTCAGACCCTCATCCACCTGCCTAGCAGAAACCTAGCTGTTGTCAGAGGCAGACAGCCCTCAAGGAGTGGTCTTACAGATCTGGGCCCGACCTACAAAACTAGCAGCCTTGAGTTGGTCCTCAGCTCCACCCGGCTGTGTCTAAGCCCTGCCCTGTTCCAAGAGCTGGCAATCCTATACGGCAGGGTACCAAGGGCCAGGTGCTCATCTTTCCTGCTCACAGCTCAGCTTCTGGCTTGTGCCTCTATATTAGATTTAAAGAGAGTTGTAGGTGTTTTGTTTTGTCTAAATAAGAGAAGAAAATATGGTGCCGTAAGAAGAGCCTTCTGCAAGCACCACGGCATTCGGAGCAGACGGAGTACGGGGAGGGGTGTGTCCCAAACTAGAAGACCCATTTTGTGTCTCAGCTAGAAATACAGACTCACAGATTGGGGATCTGGAGACCTGCTGCTGCCGTCAGGTCTGTGTCTGGTCCCAAGACTCCTTGTCACCACTTAGCTCAGAATATCGGGAGGGATCACTGATGGACAAGGAGCTGGGACAGTACCGTCCCTGGAGATGTTGGTATCTGAATGGCTACACAGAGGCTCCTCCAGTGAGCAGTGAAGTAAAGAGACAAACCTCACGTGAGTGTACTCAGCCCCGGGGGATCCCTGGGACATCTGACAAACAGTCAAGGGTCCAGGTATCTTTCAGAAATGAAGCTCTGGCTGGATTTCCTCTACATGTCACTCAGGAGCAGCAGCTACATCCCGGGGAGCAGCATCAGGGGTCACTTCAGAGGGCAGGACAGTGTCCTGGCCACAGTGTGAGATCACAGGACATGTCCCATCACTACTGTGTCCCTGTGCAAGTCGATTCAACTCCAAGAGTACCCACTCCAGGCTTAATATGAGAAGGAAGGGAGGGATGGAAAAGTGGGGGGCCTAGGACTGGACTCACTGTCAGCATCCAATGGCAGTGGGTGCTCTTGCCGCCAATCTCAGGAGCAGGAAGCCTAAGCCCTTTACATATGCTAATTCCATCATTCTTCAAAATGCCCCATAAAGACTGCCCATTATCCCCCACCACCCCCCTTTAGATGGGGAAGAACCTGAGGCCCAGAGAGGTTTCTAATTTTGCTCTGAGTCACAGAGCATGCTAGTGAGTGGCAGAACCCAGCTGTCACATGCATGGTGGCAATGGGGAGGCAGGACACCTCTTCTTTGCTGACACCTACTGGTCTCCAACCTGGCTAAGGCCTAGACTGGACCCTGGGAAGTGAGAGGCAGATACAGTTCCCAAGCCAGGGAATCAAATGGAGACAAACCAGGAAACTTCCACCTAGCAGGAAAAGACAGAATACATTTCTGGAGAGTTTGCGGCCAACTCTCTGGAGACCATAGAGAGCCATTTGGATCAAGAGTAACAAAGCTTCCATTTTGCTCTGGGCCTGGGCTCTGATGGGAAAGTACAGGCTCCCTCTGAAGATGTCTATGGAAACTTGCCTCAGACACTTATTATTCTTGGTAATTCCAAATGCCAGGGACTCCTGCTTTCATTAGGAAGGCCCAGAATGCCCTATTCACAGCGCACAGAAGGCCCTGCCGAGCATTCAGCCCCGAGGCCAGTCCTTGTGATGCCAGGGCAGTGTAGACAAGGGACACCATAGTCTGACTCTTATGAACATGGCAGTAGGTCTGGAGCCAGCTACCTCCCGACACAAGGATGGCACTCAGTTGCTAGCGATGACCACATCCTTCAAGGGCTCAAGGCACATCTGAGGAAAGAGACTGATCTTACAGATGGCCAAGCTCTGCCTCTGCTTCTCTATACAAATATCAGCTTCATTCTTCCAAGGAAATGCCAAAATCCTATCCTGCCAAGAAAAAAAAGGAAGTGGGGCTTGTTTTCAAAGGGGAGGACCTCTGTGTTAGGGATATGGCTCAGTCTCAGCTGGTAGAAGGCTTGCCTCGCATGCATAAAACCCTGGGTTCCTTTCCCAGCACCATATAAACCAAGCATGGTGGCTCATGCCTGTAACATCAGAACTTAGGAGGTAGAGGCAGGAGGATCAAGAGTTCACAGCCAGCCTCGGCTACATGAGACCTTACCTTAAAAACAAAAGTTAAAAAAGTAAAATGAAGACCTTGTGAGGTCTGTCCCGGAGCAGTGTTCAATGAGGTTCTAAGGTCCAAGGCATTCTTAGCTGCTGAAGTCTGCAGGGTGCAGGGCAGACAGGGACCCGGCTAACAGCCCCGCTAGAGACTCCTGGATGCCTTGTTCCTCTATAATTCTCCTTGCCTAAGAAAATAAGAAAGTGAGAACTTCCCCATTGCTCTTACCTGAGACCCATACTGTTTATTAGGAGTACAGGCTAGCCTGATGGGTCCCCGCTCATCTCCAGCCACAGGCAGAGGGCCGCTCCCTCTGATTAAATGGGCTTCCTGGGAGGTGTGAGGGCCCATGACTCTGGTTAACTTGTCTGCCTGTCAGGCTGCCACATGCCAAACCACAGCTAGACTTGAAATGTCAACTAAAACCACCCTCGACTACCACATCTTCCAATAGTGCACTTTCATTCTCATTTGCACCCCATCCCTACCACACACACACACACACACACACACACACACACACACACACACACACACTTCCTTATTCATCTACATCATAGCACTTGTACCACTCTTAGGCCCCTTTGTCTTCAATCTCGTCTACGTCCCTCATCTCTTTCCCAGGGTGTCATGTGGCTTCTGAATGAGATTGGGCCAACAGCAGATACTGTGAGAACACAGAAGGTCCAGGAAGGGTAAAGCTGGGGACAGAATCCTGACCTTCCTCTCAGCCCTGGAGACAGCTCTCAGCCGCTGCCTGGTCCAGCTTCCCCAGGTGACCCCAGCCCCAGATGCAGCCACAGCACATCTTTCTATTGTCGGTCTCACCTAGAGGTGGTGACTGCCCTCTACTGCATGTCACCTCTGGTAAATCTCTCCCGTTCGTATTCTCAGATCTTCGGGAGCCATATAACCAATTCCTTACACAGTAATTCTATTTCCAGTATTTGGGTGGTTTCTGTTTTCTGGTTAGACTCAGACTAGTCCAGTCCTTATCATAACTTGTCATTCTTGTACTAATTTATACAGTTACTTAATTCTTGTCCCCGCCCAGTGTAAGCTCCATGGGGCAGAAACTTTATCTATAGTGTCCACTGGGACACCTGCAGTCCCAATGCATGCTTGGCAAACAGTGAAGCATGTTAACAGAAAATGAAAACAAGTAACACTAGTGTTTTACCTAAGTTCCCAAAGAGGGAAATGCCATGTGAAAATGGTGTGTGCTCCACCTATAATCTGTTGCCATGGCAGCAGCAGGGGAGCCTGGGAGAGGGCTCAGGTGGTAAAGTGCGCACGGCACAATCATGAAGTTCTGAGCTCTGTCCCCAGGACCCACATAAAGAGCTGGGCCTGGTGTTATCTGTTTATAATTCCAGCACACGGGAGGCAGTTCACAGGTCAGCCAGTCTAGCTTAGCCAGAGAGGCCCAGGTCGCAGTGAGAGACCCCAAAAACAAGGTGCAGGTCGGAGGGATGTTCCAGCACTTAAAATCTTGCACTGCTCATTCAGAGGGCTTCACACACACACACACGAATAAGATGTTAGGGCTGAAGAGATAGTTCAGCAGTTAAAAGTTCATACTGCTCTTCCAGAGGGCCAAACGCCACTTTAGGCAGCTCACAACCACCTGTAGTTCCAGGGGATCCGACAGGCACACTCAAACATGTATATACCCACACATAGACACACATGCCTACACATAATTTAAAATTAAAAATTAAAAATAAAATAAATCTTCCAATACAAAACAAGGTAGACATTTCTGAGGAACAGCACCTGAAGCTGACCTCTGACCTCCACATGTAAGTGCCCACACATGCCTGTGTACCCCCGACACATGTACTTGCATGCACATGAACATGCACAATCAGCAGAACAGTGGCTTTTGATCTTTTCAAGCAGGCAGAGGCAGCAAGGCATCCTTCAATAAATAGCTGTGAGTTAAGTGGCCTTGGTTAAGAAAGCACCAGAGACCTGGGGACATGTCATCTCCCTCAGATGTCCCAACTCAGGTCACAACTCAACGCACATGAAAGCTGGGTCATGGGAACAAACCTTTTTGCCGTCTCCACAGACTTCTGCTCTGCCAGCTCCTTCTGGAGCTCTCTCTCCTTGGCTTCCTTCTGCCCGATGGGACAGTCCTCGGGGACAGTGAACAGGGACATAACATCTTTGCTGTCCTCTTCTCGGAGCACCTTAGCGAACACCTTCTCTGCCAACAGCCGGACCTGCTCGTCCAAATCGGACATGTTCAACTTGGGGAACTGGCGAGGCATCTCGGCTGAAAAGAAAGAACAAGTGTGAGCCTTCCTGGCTTTGTGGATGTCCCGAGTCCCCGGAGTGAAGAACAGAAGGCCACTGACCCCAGGCCTGGTCCTTGAGTCAGCTGTGGATATGGAGATGGGTTCCCAGAGCAAGCCCAGCAGACCAGATTGCAAAATTAGTTTCATAAGTAAGTGGGTGTGAAGCACCCAGGGCGGCTCACATTTCATAAGCAGCAAATGTCAGAAATCAAAGAACGGACTAATCATCTAGGCTCCTCTGTTTCTCCAACCTGTGGGAATGGGCAGTCCCACCCTCCTAACTTCACTTCCAAAACTGAGGGGCTCAAGAGAGGGCTCGGAACAACCCTTCTCCAGTCTGCCAGGGGCCACCACCGCCACAGCACCACCCCAGTTCACACCTGCTCCTCCAAGAGGGAAGGCCCAAGCTCAGGGCTAACTGTGAGCTTCCGTAGAGTCTGGAGATACCCAGGAGTACTCTTCATGCAAGAAATAAGGCCTTGTGCTGAAAAGAAGGACTCTGAGACCAAAATCCCAAGTTCCCCCCAACCTTCCAGAACTATCTAATGGGACACAGCAAATACAACAAAGGCTTTGAACAATAACATTCTTTAAGAAGCTGAAAATTCACTTCCTAAAAGAAGCTTTCCTCATCCTCTTTACATGTTGTCCCCCCCCCCCCTTCCTCCCTTCTCCCTCACTGTCCTGAGCATATTCACTGGGTGCATTCACCTTGTCAACAGTCCAGATGCCTTCCCTGGGAGCTTTGTAAGATGTGGGGGGTCGGGGGCAGGTTGTCCCCCACCCACCTATTACCAGTTTCTTTAAGGATGTTTCAGGTGGTTTTGTTGGCCAGGCTAGATGAGGGTGGGATGGGCCTTGCTGCTCTCCATCAAGGACAGGAAGCAATTACAGGGGCAGGGCTCATTAGGCCATTTTGGGTCAGTCACTCTTAGGTCTCAAATTTTTCTCATCTGTGAGATTAAGGGACGGTGTAAATGGTCTCTAGGGCCCTCTTATTGTAAGTGGCGCAATTCTAGGTAGTGGAGAGGTTTCCTATGCTGGAGGTTCAGTGCACTGGTCTTCTCTGTGGCATGTGGGGCTAATTCATGACACACACAGGAAGGAAGAAAACGGGTTGGTAATGGGCAGTCAGAGCCATGTCTGTGGTCTTGATTCTGAAACCAAATCCCTCCCTCCCCCACACCCCAGGAATGTGCCTTTCCTGGGCCTCTCAGTCTAAGGAAGATGAGAGGGGAAGGGTGAGGAGGGGACCCCAGCCTCCAACCATGAGGGTCCAGGGCGGAACAGGGACCACACATCAGCCAAGAACAAGCAGAAGCCTGTCCCCTGCGGAGAGGAAGAGGAACAGAACTGGCTGTGTGGGAAGCTGGGGGCTGTGAGAGCAGAGGCTCAAGACAAGGTGACAGGGAGGGTGCTCGGGCAGCACCAAGAGTCAGGCTTGGAAGGCAAGTGGGAACAATGTGAGCCCTGGCCCCCAACTCCTAGTCCATTGGTCAAGAGCAGTACCCCAAACCTCACGTCACATCTCAGACGTAGACGCAGGGAGACCCAGACAAAGGGCAGCAGACACAATGCTGCTGGAGAAGTGAACCTTCCTGAAATCACCAAGAAAATAATCTGAACTAGGAAACAGGAGCAGCCACATCTTTAAAATCCTATGAAATAATAGTAAATAAGGAATTAATATACAAAACTGTGCTGTGCTTTGATTACAATGATATAAAAATGCATTCCCTTATGATCAGAGCCATGGGACTGTTACACACTCAAAATGACCAAATGCCATGGGAGTGTTACACACTCAAAACAACCTGATGGCATGGGAGTGTTACACACTCAAAACAACAGGATGGCATGGGACTGTTACACACGCAAAACAACCTGATGGCATGGGAGTGTTACACACTCAAAACATCAGGATGGCAGGGAATAGCTGTTTGGGTTTGGATTGCTTTGTTTTTTGTTTTTGTTTTTGTTTTTTTTTTTTGGTTTTTCGAGACAGGGTTTCTCTGTGTAGCTTTGCGCCTGTCCTGGAACTCACTTGGTAGTCCAGGCTGGCCTCGAACTCACAGAGATCCGCCTGGCTCTGCCTCCCGAGTGCTGGGATTAAAGGTGTGCGCCACCACCGCCCGGCGCTTTGTTTTATTTTTGTTTAAGATAGAATCTTGCTATATAGCACAGACTAACCTGATATTCACTCTAGTCCAAGCTGGCCTTAAATTTGCCGCAATCCTCCTGCCTCAGCTTCCTGAGTTCTGGGACTATAATGTATAAGCTGCTATACCCAGCTGGGATATCTCATTTTAATAGTCAATGCGATTATAACTTCATTTCTTATTTTCATTTTGTTTTTTGAGCTCGCTTGGATGGCCTGCAACTTGCTGTGTAGACGAGGCAGATCTTCAACTCATAAATCTTCCCGCCTCTGCCTCCTGAGCGCTGGTTTAAAAGTGTGCACCACCACACCTAACTACTTTCATTTTTAAGATACTAAGATAATAGAAAGAAAATGGATGGTTTGAAGACTCCATAAGAGGACAGTAAGTCAAACTTCTTCCTCCAAGGTTTGACTGTTGGGCCCTCTCCTGCCTGACCCACACAGAAAGGTACCAGCCCAGAGGGGTTTGTTCCACAGAGACCCTCTCTGTCTAGGTCCTATCCTGTGTACAACCACCCTTCCACCCAACAGACGCACATAACCTGAGCCTGACACATCACTCTGGACCTCCTCAGGAAGGGGCATTTGGGACAGCCCTTATGCCTCTATGTCTTCTTACGCCACAGTCTGCCATCTCCACCCCTGAAGCACTGTTTCCTAAGTCAACCAGACATACTCTTCATGCATCTTCCTTACACTTGATCTTCCCCCTTTTTCCTCAGCTTGAACCTGCCTTCCTCAAACTGGGCCCCAAGAGAAGATACACCTCCTGGTTAGGCGGGGCCTGAGAGCAATAATGGAGGAGACACTGCATTCCCCAGGTCCACCAGGCACGTACGAGACTCTAGGATCCTGGAACAGTGCTTCCCTGTTAGGACCCTTTCCTTTTTCTCTCTTAAGTTTTTATTAGTGTAAATTCATTGTATGAAATAACAGGTTTCATGATGTCATTTTCATACATGTGATGTATTTTAGTCATTTCCCCACACACATTATCTCTTCCCTCCTGTCCCCTCCCACCAAGATCCTTTTCTTTTCAGAACTTGCAGGAAGCAGCTAAAGGATTATGATGAGTGTCCCACACAACTGGTGAGGACTTTGGTCCCAGTCTTGCAAACGGACCTCAGTGGGCCCTGACCCCTGCAGCACATCTGCTGCCTTCTGGCCATCCTAGATGGATACCCTGCCATCCCTCCCCTTCTCAAACTCCTAGCACCTGCCAGGCCAGTCTTGCCAAGGAAAGCCCACTCTGCAGATGCCAAGTAGAGCTCAGTTCCAGCTGCCCCATCATGCCTGGCTTTTGACCATTCACCAACTGAAGCCAGCAGGCTTGTGAGGCTTAACTGTGAATTCACCAGCATCAGTCAGCTAACGATCTCGCTTATCTTATTGCTACACACAGCACCCTCTAATGAGCGTGAGCCATCCCCCAGGAGTTGGAAAGCGCTAAAACACCACGAGTTCAACAAACAGCAACTTCCCACAGCACCGTGGCCCCTCCGGAAAGGTGGCCCAATGCCACCAAAATCCTGCCTTATACTAACAGACCTGTTCCCTCCTCCTGCCAGAACCTCAGTGCAGAACCCATGTCACAGACCTGAGCCTGGAGTCTCCATAAATGATTCTGAGGATGCCACACAGGCGACGTGCTGCCTGTGCTGCCTGTGCTGCCTGGAGCTGAGTCAGGGCCGGAGCAGCTAGCTGAGGCCTCCCTGCTGTGGCTGGGGTGGGAGGTCTCTGCTTTGCATATCTGTGAGCAGGAAAAGTCTGGGCTGGAAATTCTCCTGCGAATACGAAACGCAAGTGGAAAATTTCCAAAAGCCTTAAAGGCCTCAGGTAATGCCGGTTATCCAAGGCAAAATGGATGTAGGATCCTGAACACCACGTCCTGGCCCTGCTCCCAGCCTTCACCAGAAGAAATGAAAGCAGCCAGCGCCGCTGCCCTCCAGGGCAGCCACACAAGATAAGCTGCCCTCCCTCCAACGCCCAGGCTCCAATGAAAGCTGAGTGGGGACTGGTGAAACCATCACCTTGGCTGCTTCCTGTATGAACCCCACTTTAGGCTTGATGGGACAGCAGGGCTCACCTCATCAAGGAGGTTCACCTATAGAGGGACTGCTCTGCCTGCTCTCAGCAGCCCCATCATGCAAAACAACCCTCCTGAAGGCGCCCCACAAGTCGACAGGGAACCCAGAGCCCAACACTACCTCCTCCTTCCCCTCCCCCTCAAAAAAGAGGAAAGGACTATGAACTGCTTCCTCCTTGACCAGGAAAGAACAGAGCCCAGAATAAGGAGTGGCCTCCACACAGAAGCAGGCAGCTGAGCGGCAGGCAGCAGAGATGAAAAGCCTACCTACGCTACTCTTCCATCTCGTCCCTAAAAGAAGCCACACATCCCAGTGACTGGACAGCCTGACAAGCACTGCCAGACTCCCTTCAACACAGTCTCCCTCTCTCCCTCCCTCTCTCTCTCTCTCTCTCTCTCTCTCTCTCTCTCTCTCTCTCTCTCTCTCACTTTCTCTCTCTCTCTCTCTCTCTCTCTCTCTCTCTCTCTCTCTCTCTCTCCCTCCCTCCCTCCCTCCCTCCCTCCCTCCCCCCCTCTCTCCTGCACATGCATGTGCACACACCATGCTCACAGAAAAACAAAAGCACCCCAAAGCTGGCCTGACCAGGTTCACCCCAGCCCTCCTCTCCTTACCACTACTCACAGTAGTGTCCCAAAGTGCAGGCTGGATTCTTTAGCTGTCCTTTCTTAAATGACCCACAGAGGACAACCCAGTCATATAAAGGGCATACACAAGCCCTGTGTATACCCTT